CCCCCCCCGGGATCCCCGCTCCCCTCCCCGGTGGATGTTCTCACAGGGTTTTCTGTGCAAGATCCCGGAGAGCGCTGACGGGGGCTCAGCACTGGCCCCCCCTCGCAGCCCAGGGGCTGCTGTGGCTCCAGCCGGGGTGGATCCTCCTCCGATGGCTCCGTGGGGTCCGTGTGTGAAACTGGGAGCTGCGCCCCGTGTGCCGCGTCTCACGTGTTTGTGGTTTCGTTTCAGAGTCGCTGATTTCTGAAGGGAATAAAGGAGTTCTCCAGGTTCACCCCGAGGCGGGCAGCCTGACCTTGGTTCCTGACGCCCGCCTGACTGCGGAGCAGTTTGAGAAGGACTGGCTGAGCCTGGACACGAGCTGCCGCCTCTCGCTGCCCTGGGGCGGGACGGTCCAGCCGGACACGGTACAGACGGCCCTTCACGTCCTCCACATCCAGACGGTTGCCATGAGCCGGGCTGGCGCGTGGCCCTGGAAGGCTTATCTGAGCGCCCGGGACGACGCGGGCGGCCTCTTCCTGACGGAGCTGCTGCTGGAGGCGGCGGGCGCGGAGCTGCAGGTCTCGGTGAAGCAGCGCGAGGCCGGGCCCGAGGCACTGCAGACCTTTGTGTCGGCCCTAAGGACGGTGATGGGGGCGGTGGCTGGGCTGGGCTCCTGAGGGCCCCGCTCCCGGCCGGCCGCGTGCTCGGGCCGCGCCGAGGGTTCCTTCCTCCGGCTTCTGCTGCGCCCGGTGCCGGGTTTGGACTTTTAACCTGCGGGAGCGGGGCAGCCCGGGGCCTGCCACGCCGACGGGCGGGGGGAAGGACGAGGGGACACGTTTGTGAGTCAGAGCTGGTGGCGTCTGTGGCGATGGCCGCGAGGCTCTGGTGTGACTGATGGATCCAGAAGCGAGCAGAATTCTGGGATGTGTTTTGCTGAGGTTTTCTTCACGAGCATTGTAAATAATTCAGAAGTTCAGAGACTCCCGGACTCTGCTGCTTCCCCCACATTGGGGAGCACCCCGGGAAGGGTTTAGCCCTTTGCTCCCTTTCCTGGGGTTTACGTTTCTGTCCCATAGATTTTGCCTGTAGCTTCGCTTAGGGGGGAGCTGAGCCCCGTGGGTCAGAGGTGGGTGGACGGGGCCCGTTGTGCTGGCTGGAGCAAGCCTGTTGCTTTTCGAGAGGAAAAGCCGTATTTTCCAGTTGAAATGTGCTGCTGCAATCCTGAGCTGCCCCCTCTGAAGCCCCCCCTCGGCTCCCAGGGCGGCTCTCGGAGGCGCAGGGTGTGCGGGTTGGGTTGGCTGGCGCAGCCCGTGGAGGCTGGGACGGAGGGGCTGCTGCTGCTGGGGTAATTGTGGAATATTACATTTTGGCTGACACTGATTTTTACCGTTAACTAGAATGGGAGTTACCGTTTGTCGCCGTGCCGCGCTGTCGCCCTGCCCTGGCAGTGCAGCGCACGAGATGGCGCGGCGCTGCGTGACTCAGTGTTTTGCACGTTACGCTCTGGGCAGCCTCGGGTCGCTCCTGGAGAGCGTGTCGACAGCGCTTCGTCTGCTCGGCCGGAACGCGGGGAGGGTCGGACTTTGTACGGTGTCCTGAAGAGTCTCCGTCTCACAGCCGTGTTTTACGGAGCGGCAGAACTCCAAGGAAGGCTCCTTGGCCCAAGGCTGAGGTTATTGCGGCAGGGTGCTACGCCGCTGTATGAAGTGGCTTTGTTAACCCTATTCTGCAAGAGTTCTCGTCATTTTTAATTTCTTTAAATGACTGCTGTACCTCTCAATTGCAGCATGCCCTCCATGCACTTCACTGAAACGCTCCTGTCACTGTTAAACAACAGGCTTTAGATTTTCTTTCTGATTTTTCCTTAATAAAAGTGTAAAACCTTCCTGGCTGTTTTCTGGAGTTCTTGGTTCAACTCTGAAGTCTGTGGGATGGAGTCATCTGGTCGCTGCCGTGGATCAGACAGAACGGCAGCCCAGCCCTGCCTCTGTCTCGGCTTCCTGAAGCAAGGCTTTGAGGAGCAATAATTAATTTCGGTCTCATAAGCCAAATGGCTGCAAGGGTGAGCTGCCTCCCGGTGAGTTCAGAGGTAGGGAAGCAGCTGCAGTGGGGCTCCCGTTAGGAGTTCCCGTGTCTCTGTGCGTGTTGCGTTCCTGTCCTCGCAGAGCGCTGCCGTCGAGTGTTGGCACTGAGTCGTCTTCAGAACGTGACGGCAGCTTGTTGCCCAGCTGTGGTTCGCTCTGCTGTGGCTGGACCAGGCCTGTCTTTAGGGTGGGCCTGGAGCTTCCAGCCTTTTCTCCAGACTGTTGGGTGAACAAATCAGCAGTCTCTGATAACTTTTTATTTCAGTTGATCTTAGCAGACGTGACTTACATTGAAACTAACCACACCCATGGCTTGAAGAGCAAATATTGGCATATCCTGCTGTCCCGGGGAGGGGTTTGGGGTCATGTTCTTCTCGGAAGGCAGAACCTGTGCAGCTCTGGGAAAGGAAAGCCAAAGTCCAGAGGCACCTGCCAAGAGCAGCAGTGAGAGCGTCCCTGCCCGCTGCGGTGGGGCGACGTGCGGCGATGGCGACCTTTGAGGAGCAGACGGCCTGCGTGGTGGAAGCCTTGTTCTCCGACCTGCTGGGCGAGGACGAGAGCGAGTGCCGGAGCCTGGAGACGGACTCGGGAGGTAGGGCCTGGTGCGGGAGCACAAAGTGGTTTCTTTGCTGTGGAGAGTAGAGGAGCGCTTCGACTGAACGCCCAGAGCAAGGCGGCTGAGGCTGGGGGTCGTTGGGCTTCCTAAACTGCTGACTTGTGACGGTGCCCGAGCCATCTCTGGTTTGGGGGAAAAGTTAGAGCAAGGTCAAGTTTGAATGCTGGGCAGCCCTCGTCTGTGGTCTGCCTTGGCAACGGGGGCTGTGCGGGACGGCCACCCCCGGGGCCCCCTGCGGGTCCGCAGGCCCTGCCTTGCTCTGCACCAGCGGGGTGGGACAAGCTCTAACTGTCACTATCAAAAAAAACCCAAACAACCCGCTCATGCTGCTCACTGGGTAAAACCAGTTGCCTTACAGGGTCTTTGCTTCCCAAACTCCCACTATCATTTGGGATACTTTGGTTTGCTGAGCAACGCTGCATGAAACCCAGAGCTTTACCTGTATTCACGTTGCTTTTCCCCCTGTTTTCATGACAACAAACTAGTCAAAATGTTTCAAGAGCCACTGGCACCTTCCTGACACCGGATAGCGGAGCCTGTTTCCCGAAAGCTCTGGGGAAGTTTGTCATTTTGCCTAAAGAACAAGTCTCCGTTAGCGTATTGCTCGTTTTCCTCTCCCGGATGAGACGCTCGTGCCTCTGCCTCGGCTGTCCTGAGCCTGTGAAACCGCCTGGAGCCCCGGGGGCTGCGGGTGCCCAGCGCCGGAGCTGGGATTAGCGGCTGGATGAGGGAGGGATTTGGATCAGGAAGCGATGCTTCCGCATGAACTTGCCCTCTGCTTTCTGTTGAAAGATTCTGATTTCAGTTCCTTATGACTTTGTCAAAAGTGGAAATGGTGTTGTTGAGACTTTCGGTATTGGGTAGCTCCTTCTAGCTGAACCTTGTTTTCTCAGGGGAAAATAAAAATTTGTTCTTTTCCCCTCAGAATACTTTATAGGAAAAATGCTACAACTCGGGTGCTCCCCCTGTGCCCCCCTCCAAGTACAGCTGAGAAGTCCTTAAGGCTTTATATACTTGAAATTTGAGAAGTATGCCTTTTACTCCTTTTGTGAAAAACTTCCCAGATTTGGGTCACTATGAGCTATTGAAATGTTGCAATTTGCACTTGCTCGGAGGAGACCTTGGTCCACGTTCTCCGAAGGCTGCAGCGGGAAGTGCAGGCAGGGCTTTGCCATCCCGCCAGTGCCGCTGCAGCCGGGGGAGAGATGAGACGTTTTCCAACCCCTCTGAGCTTTACGTTGGTAAAACCGAGCGGAGGCGGTGGTGATGGACCCAGAGCTGATTCCAGAGGCATCGGCATCATCGCCCGCGCCGCGCTGTCCCTCCTGCCCACACAGGCTGTTACCGCAAGTCCTGGACTAAGTGAACTCGACAGACGTTTTACGGGGGTGGCCCATAGACTGCGGGAGTGGTGTCTGTGTGTATGTATTGACGAGAAAGGTGCTGGTGGATAACTGGGATGTACTGGAAAGAGTGGGGCGTGGACATGACACAAATGGTCGAGAGGAGGGCGTGGGTATCGTCCTGGTTTCGACTGGGATAGAGTTAGTTTTCTTACCATAACTCTTAAGAATTAATTTCTAATGAAAACATCCCTGTATTAGCAGGACTGTTCTCCGCACAAATCCAAACCAGCCTCACGCTGGCTGCTGTGGAGAAAGTCAGCTCTGCCCCAGGCGCAGGCAGGACACCTTCCCTCCTGGCAGCGGGGGAAGGAGCTGCCAGAACCCGGGGGGCAGAAGAGGGGCCTTAGGGGTGTCCCTGGAGGAACAGGAGTGGGGCTGAACTGAGGCTTGGGCGTGAAGCAACAAGGGTGAGAGGAAAGCAGCCTGGACACCCCCGTGGGACAGAGCCCCTCGGTCCCTGCGAGCTGGTGACGGTGTTTCTTAGGGACTTCGGTGTCTCCGAACGCCTCTGCTCGGAGGAGGACCCTGCGCTGACCTCTGGGCGCCAGTGCAGCCATGACTGTAGCGCCTGCCGAAGGCTGCGCCTCGGGCGGGTGTCCTGGGCGTGTTCGGGGGCTGTTCTCTTTCCCGGCCTCTCACGTGTTGCGCCAAAGCCCTCTCTCTGCTCCAGAGCCCATGCGGTCTGCAGTGAAGTATCGGACCACGTTTGACCCGACTGTGATCGCCAGTCGCCTGCGGCTGATGGGGGACCGGTGCAACATGGACTTTGAAAGGGTTTCCTCGGAGGCTCTTGCCGAAGTGTTCACGGGGAAGGTAAAGCCCACCGTGTCCTGCCCGGACGGCTCCTCGTCCCTAGGCCAGCCGGGGGGCGGGAGAAGCCTGGGGGGCAGCTCAGCCCACGCCGCGGGAGCTGGGGGTCTGAGGGGAAGGGGCGCGATGCCCCGGGACTCCCTTCGCTTCTGTGCCGCAGGCGGGGCGCGAGCTGCCGGGACAGAAGCTGGACGAGGTGTGGGGGAGCCGCTTGTCCCCTCTCTCTCCTGAAGAAGCTGCTTTTTATCCCCTGAGCGGCCCTGGAGCTGCCTGGGCCGGCCTGTGGTTGGGGGAGATGCCCCCACGTTGGTGGAGGCAGCTCGTGTGTCGAGGGGGGAAGGAGGAAGACTGTGGTGAGAGGAGCAGGGGGGTGCCCAGACTGCGGCGGGTGCTCCGGCTCTGGTACCCGCTCCCCGCTGGCACGAGGCCACGGGCGGTGCCAGCCCCGTCCCGAGGCTGTGGGCTCGCCTGCTCCAGCCGTGGGTAGAAGCAGCAAGTGTGGGAATTTAAGGGAATGTTGGATTTTGAGCCCCGGCCGTTCCAACTGCCCTCTCAACGCTTGCAGGTGGAGAAGTTTGCGGCTGCCGTGGACTCTCTCAGCAAGAGGTGGAGAGACCAGAACCCCGAGCTGGTCTACGAGAGCGCTTTTCTCAGCGTGGCTGTGAAATTGGTGATGCACATTGCCAAGAAAGTCCCAGCTCTGGTGCATCCCACCCAACTCATAGAAGTGATCAATGGAAATCCTCGAGTGAGAAACTACATTGAGGCCCAAGGCGGATGGGTAAGGGTGCGGAGGTGGGGGGGGTCTTTGCCTGGGCATCTACAGCCCTTCCTTTGTGCCCCCCCCGGCTCGGCCGGTCGCTGACACCCGGCGCGTCCCCCTGACACGCGCAGCGGCCGTGGGAGCCCCGGGGAAGCCTCACTGGGGCCGACATCAAACTGCCCCTCTGCTTCTGCGTGTCAGCGTTTAACCCCTGACCTCGGTACCCGGGGAGCTCGGCTCGCTCCGTGGATGAGAACCGAAGTAATGGAGGACGGGCCGTGCGGAAGCGCCGTCCTGCCTGCGCGGGCCCCACACGCCGCCTTTTACCGGGGGAGGATGAAATCGGTCCCGGAGCGGGAGGCAGTTCGCGCGTCCCTCCGGCCCACGTCCTGCTCCTGACGGTTCCTTTAAACCCTTCAGATCTTTCTCTAAAACATATTTTGGGTTTGTCTGTTTTCAGGAGAACTTGGACAGTTGAGAGAAAGGGCCACGCTACTTCCCCGAAGGTGAAGCTCGCCTTTTCCTTCATTTAACTGGGAGAAATGTTTGTATTTCTTCTGGAGAAGAACTCTACACATAACCAACATGTAGAAGACATTCTGTACCACTACGGGCAAATATTAATAAAAGTTTTTTTTTTATTGCTTTTCTACGTGTGTTCCTCTTGAATTCAGCCACAGAAGTCAGCTTCGCTCTTATCCAAGGTTTCTAGGTCAGTGCTCAGTGCCACAGACTCACCAGGTGAATATTTGTTTTAAAAATTATTTCCATTAGTCATTCTAAAGATCTCTGTGTTCCTCTTAGGCGATTCAAAGGCTTGTTTTTGCAAAACTAACACTGACATTATTTTAAACTGAGAGTGATGGCTCTTTCAGAGTGATCAACAGCCCTTGGCCTTTCAGCGCCTACGTACGTAAATCTTGTAGCTGTCCTGTGCCTGATCTGCAAGAAAACAGAGGGGGAATGTGTTTAGTGTCTAGTTACAACCAGAAAGAGAAACAGACTTGGCAGAGCTAGGCTGGAGACTCTGCAAAATGTGAGATATTGGAAAGATCAAGGCTGTGATTCCCATGCCTTTTTTGGGTTTTGGAGGGTGGTCGGCTTTAGTTTTGTTTATTTTCGTCTTCCCCACTTCTGCAAGTAGAGAAAATGGATGGCCTTCGAGATCTTTGCTCTCTGCATCTCCTTCCCACTTCAGAATGACTCTGCTTTGTCCAACGGGCTTTTCAGAGCACCTGTAAGTGTTACCGAGAGGGTGTGAGGTGAATTAGAGCTGGCATAATTAATGTGATTTCTGTAGTCTACTGGAGTCCGATTTAACCCTCTCTTCTGGCACGAGCAACCAGATGTGGGGAATTGCGGTGGGAAGAGCTGACCCGAAGCGTGTTGGTCGGTTTTCTCTGTTCAGAAGCGCTGGCGCCGTCCGGGGCAGTGACACGTGCAAGCCAGGTTCAGGCGCTCAGTGTCTGCCTGAAGGAGTCTTTCCAAACCTTTTCCAGTTACTGTGGGAAACGGTCTCAGTTACAAGTGTGACGGGGAACTGTGGGTTTTGCGTGCTGCTTTGGGGGCTCTTCCAGTCGCAGCATACTCTGAGTCCGAAGCCTTCCCCGCGGGTGCTCGGCCGCTGCCCCGTGCTCGCCCCCCCGCACCACTGCTGAGGGCTGGACGTGGTGCTTACCGCCGTCGGATGTTGGGGTGCTCGGCTCCGGCCTCCAACACCCCACCGCCTCCGTGGGACGGCGCGCAGGGAGACCCCGGGGCGCCAGAGGGGCGCAGGCAGCTCAGCCCTGCCACCGGGCTCCTGCCCGGCTCGGCGCTGCCTGTGGTTTGAGCAGGAGGCACTAGGGCCTCAGTTTTTTGGTGCTTTGTTTTGCTGTTTGGCCACGATATCAGTTACGTACTAATTTCCTTTAGGACTTGTGATGAAGTCAGTAAACCACAGCCTGCTGCGAGCACTCTCCGGGCTGGTGCTTTCCGCCGCCGCAGGCACTTGACATGTCCGTTCCCAGGACCGGCAGCCTGGGGACCACTCGGTCTCCGGCAACATGGACCAGAGGGAGATTCTGCTGCTAAACCTGGAAAGGGCCCAAGGCAAGAAGCTCAACCGAGAGCAGTTTGTAGAAGAGTTTTTGGTAAGTCCGCTTAAGGCACGGCTCCTTGTTTCAGCTGATTTTAAAGGGAACCGCTCAGTCATTTCTCAAACAGCGATGGGATTTCCATGTGACAATGAGATTTTTCTATTAATTTTGCAGCAGAAGGAGACACAGGAGTTAACTGCGGTAAAAGGAATGTAAAGACAGAAGACTAACTTAACGCGTTCAAAGTAGAACTGTTTGCTTTTAAATAATTACCCGAGTGCTTCCTGTTTTCTGCTTTGCGAATTCACTTGTCAAGACACAGTTTCACTTCGCCTGCTCACGCAGCCGGGGGCACGGTGGGGATACGGAGCTGCTGCCCCTTCTCGCCACCGCGGCCCGTTACATCGGCGACGCACGTGTTCCCGGCGGGGATCTCCCCTTGCTCCTTGACGCGGCTTTTCCTCTTTGCGTTTCAGGGGAGACCCCTCTGCCCCTGTACCACCCCAGCGTGGGGAGCGGGCGTTCAGAGAAAGGCCCCTGGGCTCGGGACTCTTCCGGCTCCCGCGGACACCGAGCGTGTGGCCGAGGCGCGAGGTGGCGGCGGGACGAGCCGTTTCTGCAGCCCCCGGCACGGGGCCGAGGCAAGGGCTGGCGTGTCCCTTCGCCAGCGGCGCACGAGCTCTGTGCCCGGCAGCGCTGCTGCCCCTCCTGCACGTTAGTTCTTGTTCCCTCAAGGCAAAACGAGCAAAAAACGCTGGTGGCTCTGGGCTGGTCGAGGTCCGGGCAGTGCCCCTGTCCGTGAGTCTCCTACAGCTCTTTGGGTGTCAGGGGCGAGTCTTGGAGGGCAGCCCCCTGCCCCGCGGCCGGCCGTGCCTGGTGGCTATCGGCTGGAGGAAGGCTGCTCGGGCAGGCTCTCTGGGCAGCTCCGAGGAGCAAAGGCATTGCCCAGCTTTAGCGGGCGTGGGGAAGGGTAAAAGTGGTGCCTCTGTAAGATCGGAGATGTCTCAAGCACCAGAACAACCCCTGGCCCGGGGTACCCCCGGACACATCAGGCAGTGGCGTTGGGGAAGGGTCAGGGGCCGCTTCGGAGCCCCCACGAGACCCCCTGCCCTGTCGTACCGGTGAGGGCTGGCGCTTCAAGCGCTTGGGAAAAGCTTAGTGCTTGGTTTCCAGGTGTCTGGGCCGGAGGGAAGTGATTAATCCGCGCCTGCAGTGACAGTCTGTTGTTCCACGGAACAAAGCGCTGTCACAGGCGGCTGAATTTCCCCCGCTCGCCCCGTGCTGGGGATGTGCTGGGCGAGGCGCGGGCGCCGGCTCCGGCAGCCACACGTACAGTTGATTTTCTGACCCAAAAGCAGGTAGAAGTGGTCAAGTCTGTGTTTCCTCGTGCGCTGGGGAGGAACCTTCCCAGGGCGGCCGAGTCACCGGCCACCTTTGCCAGTGCAGAAGCCGTAACAGGGATTGTGATGGCTTTGCATTTCCAAACTTGGTAGAAATATTCGATGCTGTTTCTCCCTCCTGATGCCTCCCTTCTCTCTGTGTGAACAAGCACTTGCACATGCAAATTGTGGTGGTGTTACTGTAAACGACAGGGGTTTTTGTTTAAGTCCCCTTTTTCTGTCTGTGCAGCCTCACAGCCAGGGTTTGCTCCTCGCTGCTCTCACTCATTTCTCATCCGCAGGGTTTTCCTGAACAGTTTTATGTCAGCTTATTCAGGGACGGAAATTAAGGCGATTCAGAGCCTCAGCTGTAAAACTGGCTTCAGGACTAAGTGATGCCCCTTCCAAAAAAGCTTATCCTGGAGATTGGGGTTGCCTTGGAAGGAGGCAGGGGGAGGGTGTGGAGGTGACGTGTAGCCCACCAAACCCACCCTGCTCCCGCAGCTTCTGTCACACTGCGCCTGCCCCGGGGTCTGGATTAATTCACGCTGGACACGTGGAGTGTCCTGGGCCTCCTGCACCTTCTTCCTGACCCCTTCCATCCGGATCAGTGAGATGTGACTTTTGTGGTATCGTGGCTTGGAGAGCAGCAGAACTTAGGGTTTTAACATTGCAGTTTAATGTTAGAAACCAGCAACTCCAGCTTGGATCTGAATTGGAATGTCTGTGCACAGACACAGACACAGTGCTGCCGCGCTCACCTTTTATCTGCGGCATCGCTGGGGGGCTGCTTGGCCTGGTCAGGTGCGTAGAAGCTGCGAAGGCTCCGGCTGTGGCCCTTTGGCAAATGTCTTCGTCCTGGAGCTTAGTGCCTGCGCCCGAGGGTGTCGTGTCCTAGCGGGGGCCTGCCTAGAGCCGGCTGGTCAGCAGCAGGGAAGGACGGGGACAGGATCCTGACAGCTGACAGGCAGGTGCTTACGAGCTCCGGGGGGAAGGTCCCTAGGAGCACCCAAAAATCCGGGTCCTGAAACCGCTGGGACTCCCGCGGTTCCTGCTCACGTGCTGCTGTGCCGAGCTGTGGCCCCGAGCCCCCCGGGAGGCTTCGCCGGTGCCAGCAGGAGGGACCGTCACCCCCTCGGCCCCGACCCCTTTGACCAGGCGCTATTTGGGTTCGGTGGCCCCGAGACCAGCGGCTGCTCCTCCCCGCGCCGTCAGCGCCGAGCCCGCCGTTCCCGTTCCCTGCCAGCAGCTCAGGCGGGTCACGGCGAGGCGCACACCAGGCACCAGAAAACCTCTCGCCTTGCAGCTCAGGTGTGTCCGGGGACCCTCCCCTTCGCTCTTCCCCCCGACCACCTTCCCTCTTTCACAACCCTCACGATCCCGAGGGTTCTGCCAGCCCGGCTCCGGACACCAGCAGTGACGGCCAGGAGGGCTCCAGGGGGTGGGAAAGGGAGACCTGCCCTTCCGCGTGTCGAGCCGCAGAGTCACTAATTGGAGAAATGGCCTTTTGGTTTATATCAAAAGCACCCCTTGATGGTAAGGAAAGTGGTTAGGTAGACGAAAAATTATGAAAGAAAAAGTACAACAAGAATGGGCTTTTGAAGTTCGTGGCAACGAACGGTGTGTGTTATTCAGAAGCTGATGTCGGTGAAATAAAATTCTGTGCTTTGGCAGGAAAAAGGTGCTTGAACTCTCTGGGAGTGCTGCGGCTTTATCCTGGAAATGAAAGAGATGAGAGATTCATCCCCCGAAGGGTCTATCCCAGGACTCCTTCTCCTTTCTCTTTCATCTGCGCATGTAGCTGCTTTGCTCCAACTGCTTGTGCTCCTTTGGTGGCTTGAGCGGGGCTGTCTGCAGCTACAGCAGCTTTACCGAAGTGAGAGAAATCAATTGATTCATCTGTCTTTTCTGATACCATTTGTTAAAGGTGGTTTAACATTGTTACGCCTCTTACCTGGGTGCCATTTGTACTGCGAATCGTTCCCCCCCGTGTCTCACTTATTTGTGAGGGCGATGCTTTGATGTGCTGTACAAATGCATCCTTTCCCTTCAGAAGCCCACATGCCCGAGCCTCGTGTGGGCACACGCTTTCCTCAGCACACACTTTCCATTCTTCAGAAGCCTCTGGTGGGGCTCTCAAGTGGCTTCTGTCTCTATTCTTGCTCCGAGTACCTTGAGAAAAGCCACTCAGGAAAAAATTAATGGTGCAGACCTTGCTTTGTGGCAGTGAACCTGACCCCTAGAGACCTTCACGTGTGCTCTCTAGTGTTGTATGTTGCACGTTTGCTGTAATTTGTTCCATTCTTTTATCACAGAAGCTGAAAAGGCAGTCAACAAAGTACAGATCGGATAAAATCTACCCTACAGCAGCGTCTGAGCAACCAGAGAACGTCAAGAAGAACAGATACAAGGACATCTTACCCTGTAGGTTGGAAATGGCAAATGTTCCTGTTCAGCCTTTTGATTTTTTCTAGTTTGAGTCTGTTCTCATGCCCCGGTACCTGCCTCCACAGCCGCTCGGTGTGAGTGTGTCACCGGCTGCCGGGCGGCCTTGGATTCCCCTGGGCAGGTTTAAGGCTTTGTCTTTGCCTGTTGCAGCGCACGCTCGGCAGGACTCTGGCACGTGCTTTCTAAATTTCAGTAGGAAACGCACCCTCTAATGCTCATCCTTGCAAGCTCTCGGGGTAGTATTGCGACCAGATCACAGTGAAAACCTGCCATGGCGGGTCCTGGCTCGGTGCAGGAGTTTCCAAATAAGAATCTGTCCTAGGATCAGGGCAGAATGTCCCTTTCATCTGTTCTAGCTTGAAAACAAAATAATCTAAACGCGCGGACCAGATCTGAGCCTGTAAGGTGGGACGCGGGGTGGCTCTGGGCCTGGCTCGCTCCGCGGTCGGAGGCGACGGGCGTTGTGCTGGGGCAGGGGCAGCATCTGCAGCTCTGGCCCGAGCCCTCGCCGTCCCCGACAGACCTGCCCTCCCCCTCGCCGTCCCTGCCCGTCCGCTGCCCGCGCGGGGCTGTCGGGGGGTGCAGGAGGAGCACGAGCTGCTCACGCAGCCCCTCGTCTGCTCTGGGCTGAGCTCCCCGATGTGCGTGCTCCTCCAACGCGCCTCGTGCTGCAGCCGGAGGAGCTCAGCCGCCAGCGCACGCACTAACTGCTGCTGCTTCTGCTTCTGTGCCTGCAGTTGACCACACCAGAGTGGAGCTCTCCCTGATCACGTCAGACACAGACTCGCATTACATCAACGCCAACTTCATCAAGGTACTGCTCCTTCCGTGGCCTTCCGCCGCACAAGGGTGTCGGGAGCAGCTCGCGGTGCTGCGGGTTGCGTGGTGCCGGGAGGAGCCGGCTGCAGGCTGCGCTGAGCATAGGGACCGGGCCGTGCTCCGCGAGAGCTGATGTGCAGAAGATGTGTGCGACCAGCGAGCCCCCCCAAACCCCCCCGGCAGCACCCGTCGCCAGGGCCGTGTGGTCGCGCCGGGGTGGGCGGTGGAACAGTTTGTGGCTCGCAGCCCCGACTTCCTTGTCGGCCCTGCTGCCTGTGGGGGTGGCTGGTGCAGAACGTGGCCGGAGCCGCCCGGGCAGGAAGCCCTGATGGCAGCACGCCTGCGACCCGCGGGGTTGGGGCAGCGCGGACGGTTCCCCGTCCAGAGCTCCGCGTGCTGCGGGATGCTCCCGCGCTCGTGACCCTTCTGCGACAGACCGATAGTGGTTCCCTTCGTTCTCCGCCACGGCGACCCGGGGCCCCGTGTGACCCGTCTGCGCCGGGGGTCGTTCCTGGGCCGGCGGCAGAGCGGGGTGAGCTGCTGTCACCTCCCAGAGCGCGGCGGGAGCCCCAGCTGGGTGGAGACCTCGCCTCGGGCCTCGCTCCCACGCTGGCTCTGCCGCTCGGAGGCTCGCACACCATTAGCTTCCATTCGCTTTATCTAATGTAGGTGCCTAAAATTTGACGATATAAAAGCCTTTCTAAATCCTTACCGGGCTCATTGCATAGAAGTGAGATTCAGAAAGAGGAATGGCTTTATTTCTGCTGCTGCACTAAGCAAAGATATCTCCGTGTCTGGTTTGAATGCTGCTTTAGGGCGTCTATGGGCCAAGAGCATACATTGCAACCCAGGGTCCTCTCCCCACTACTGTCATTGACTTTTGGAGGATGATTTGGGAGTATAAAGTCCTGGTAAGTGCACATTTATATGTCTTCCTTTTTTTTTTTTTTTTTATAAAAGCAAAGCTGTCTGTGCAGGCAGCCAGCAGCCCTTTCTGCCTAGGCAGAGGGAGGGAGGTCAGGGTTTTGCTCCAGAAGTGTGTGTGCCCCGCATCCTTCCCGTGAGCCTCCCCCACACTCGTGCTGGGACAGGAGTGGGCTCGTGGCTGTCTCGGCGCTGGGCTCTGAGCAGAGAGGTCCTCGTGCCCCGAGTCTCATTTGCGGAGCAGGAGGGATGCCGGGCGGGCAGCCCGCAGAGCTTCCTCACGGCTGACAACTACTCCCAAGTGATGAGTTTGATTTTTGCTGCCTGGATGCCTTGTGTGCAGACTTTTCTAACAAACCTTCTTTCTGCAGATTGTGGTCATGGCTTGTATGGAGTTTGAAGCGGGAAAGGTGAGTAACATGTCAGGGGCGGCCTCTGCCGTGACAGTGCCAGGGCGGGGCGGAGAGATGCAGATGTTCATTAAATCTCATTAGTGACAGTGAGTCTCTGTTTGATACGAGCTGTTTCCTGAGTCTCCGGCTGCAGATTCTTAAACCCTTTCCAGTAGCGTAGCTCATCTCTTTGGGAGGGAAAAACCAGCAGCGATGGCTGCAGGGAAGGGGGGGCTGGAGCTGGGGGGCAGCAAGCGCTGGGCCTCCTCCCAGTGTGAGTTCTGTGCTGCAGGGCGAGGGGGGAGCTGGGGCGGGTGCTGGCACCCAAACGTGTCCTGCTTCCCGCAACAGAAGAAATGCGAGCGGTACTGGGCAGAGGCGGCCGGCCCTCCCCTGCAGTGTGGCCCTTTCGGCGTCGCCTGTGTGAGTACAGCTGCCCCAGCACCCCTCGCGTCACGCGCTGGAAACTCGTGTCCCCCGCAGAAAACGTGACTAACGTCTTGCTCTGCAGGAAGCTGAAGAGAAGAAAAATGAGTATGTAATTAGGACTTTACAGGTGACCCTGAATGAGGTAAGTAGGAGAGGTCAAGGCAGGAGATGCACCTTGGCTCGCTTTATTGTGTAAATAATGCGTTAAAATACAGCAGGCTTTGTGCAGAAAGTTTTACACTGCTCAGCCTGTGGGTTTAGACTTGACAGTAGCTGAAGGGACAAAGAAAGTAAAAAATCGATTCACTCAAACCTCAATTTCTGAAGCTGTTTGTCAGTTGTGGCAAATGCAGCCGGGAGCTGGGGGTGTCTGCAGCGCCCCGGCACCCCCGCCCTGCGTGTCCCCCTGCGCCCCCGGGACCCGCGGCAGCGTCCCCTTGGTGGCAGCGGCCGGCCCTGGCCCCTGCCAGTGCTCTGCCCTTGCAGGAAACCCGCACCGTCCACCAGTTCCACTACAGAAACTGGCCGGACCACGACGTCCCCTCGTCCATCGACCCCATCCTGGAGCTCATCGGCGAGATCCGCTGCTACCAGCCGGACGACAGCATCCCCATCTGCATCCACTGCAGGTGGGCGAGCCGGCCACCGGCGGGGAGGGCTGGTGGCCCCCAGCCCCCGGCTCTCGCCTCCTGAGCGGCCGCGCTGCTCTCGCAGGAGGTCCTCAGGCACCGGGTGCTCTGGGGGCAGCCGGCAGCAGCAGCCCAGCGGCGTCACGTGTAGCCGAGAGGCCACCAACACCCCGCCGTGGCTGTCCTTGCAGTGCCGGCTGCGGGAGGACGGGCGTCATCTGCGCCATCGACTACACCCAGAAGCTGCTGAGGGACGGGGTGAGTGTCGGCCCCCTCTGCCTCTTCAAAGGGCGCCTGCGCGCAGCCACGTCTGTCCCTCCTCGCCTCTCTCCCCCCTCGCTGCCCTTTCACCCCTCTGACTGCAGCAGACGTGTTTCAGGTGACAGACGTGAGCGGGAGACCCCCACAGCCTGGCTGGAGCACGGTGGTGGCCAAACCACTGACACCCCGTTCCCAGCTCGTGCTGCTTCTCTCCCTTTAGGCTCCGCATCACCCATGCGCTGCCCGCGGGCGCTGCTCCCCCACCCCGGTGCGAGTGCCCCCAGTGCCTGAGCCGACGGGGCAGAACCCAGAACCCTCCCGCTGCTCCTCCGGCGGGACCTCGGGTCACCAGGGCTGGCTCTGCACCAGCCTTCGCCTTCAACGCCGCTTTACTGTCTCTACTTGTCTCTCCGCACTTAACCATCAGAACGTCAGCGTTTCCCAGCTAACGCCTTGCTTTGCTCGGGTTCCGCGATAAATGTGTGTGTGAAGTCACCCCCGGCCTTGCAGCGGGTTGCGGGGGCTCGGGGGGTGGCTGCGTTCTGATCCTGGCCTTGTGCTCTTCGCAGCCGTTACCAATGTTGTTATAAAAAGGGTGTTTTCTGTGGAGTGCGGGACAGCAGGGGGGAGGCAACTGGTTCCTAATCAAAAAGAGCAATTCAAGCAGGTCCTTTGTTGAAAACTCTTGCAGTAGCAGGCCTGAATCTTGGACACCGTTCTAAACCGCGTCAGGACTGGGCAGTTGCTTGGAATTAGACCTGTCCCTAATTTTCCGTTGTCTCTCTTTCTTGCAAGATTGTTCCAGTGAACTTCAGTATTTTCAGTCTGATCCAGGACATGCGCACGCAGAGGCCTTCCATAGTGCAGACCAAGGTACGTCGGGGAGGTCTCTCGGGCTGGGAGGGACGCTCCGTGCCGGCACCCCGGCGCTTCCCGGGAGGGTTCGCAGCAGGGGAACGCGGAGCGGTTGTGCTGCTGGAACTGGGGCACGTCGGCGTTCTCTAAGGTCCCTTTTCTGAACAGAGGAATGGTTTTGCAGAAATTAATTTGGTAGCTGACCATTTCCCTGTAGACAGCTGGAGCAGCTGAGTGCTTGCAGCCCGATTTATCAGACACTTACACTGTGAAACAAGGGGCTGTCCGGGGGATGAAGTGGGAACCCTTCTCAGCTGAGACAGACTGAAGAGGAAGCTCAGTGCAGAACAGCGTTGTTTGTGCACCCGAAGAAACCCAGATGCTTCAGCCTGAACCCTTTGAAAGTTGTGGCTTCTACCTCTTCTGAGAATTTACCCTGCGAATGGGCTGGGAAGCGGCAGCTTCTCTCAGGGGCTGGTGCTTGGGTGTCAGGGACCATTTGCACCCACTGCAGGTGCTGGCTCTCACTCTGATTTACTTGTCTGGAGCGCAGGAGCAGTACGAGCTGGTTTATGATGCAGTGATCGAGCTCTTCAAAAGGCAGATTAAAGCCCTGGATGCTCCAGAAGATTCTGCTGCTTCACAGGTAAAAATCCCCAGGATAAACACGCTGCCCCTCGCAGCCCCGGCCACGCCAGCTCCAACCTTGGCCCCAGCTGCAGAAGTCTCCTCTGCAGACCTGGAATGAATCCCCGTGTTTTCTGCTACCCTTGGCGCCCGAACTGAGCCTCTTGTCCGGGAAACGCACGGGAACCCATCTGCTTCCCTGAACGTGCAATGTTTAGCACAGGATTTGGCCCCAGGCGAGAGATGAATTTTCTTTGGTCTCAAACCCATTTTCTATACACTCTTATAATTGTTGAATATCACGAGTGAATAGAAAAGCACCAACTTTGCACAGTAGCAGCCGGTTTCCATGTGGACGTGCGGGTGAAACTTGTCTTCGTGGAGAGCTTGCAGGCGACAGCGTGACTCTGAGCCCAGGCTGGGGGCCCGGGCGCAGGAGGCGGTGTGCTGAAGGCGTTAGTCTGACGCAGGGTGGCATTCTAGCGAGGTAATTGGTGTTACAGCCTGTCTGTGGGAGAGAGCGGGCCAAAACATCTTCTGGAAAAATGTGTCTTTCAAATCTGATACACCTCTGAGGAAAAACAAGGTGGTCTTGGTACGAAGTTGCACACAAACAGGAAGGTACAGAAGCTTTGCTTTGCTCTTGCTGTCCTGTGGCTGCTGGCACGAGCCTTACCTGCCCTGGGCGGCTGTTGGCCATCGGGCTGAAGTAAATGTGTCGCCTTTCTTAGGCAAAGGCTGAAAGGTCACCCTTAGCCTTTTTTGTCAGAAGCTTTTGTCTAAAGAACTGGGAACAGGACCCTGTGATGGGGCTCGTGCCTCGGTTTAGCCGTAGGATTTGCGGGATGTTCCAAGCCAGAGCCCGGTGAGGAAAGGGCTGGGCAGTGCCTCTTTCTGCGTGTTGTGCACAGACTGCAAGCGAGGGAGATGCAAGGACTGGGGCGATGCAAAATGCAGACAATGGTTTGAGTCCGGATGTGGTTTTGTAGCTCCTGGCCAAACCTCTCGCCCACCCAAGGCTCGGCGCCCTGGCAGTGCTGGTGCCGAGCAGGGGGATGGGGATGGCTGAGGCGTCGCGCAGGAAGCCAGCGCCCGGCTGCGTGCCGCGGGGCGCTGGGCTGAGCTGCCGGCGCTGGGCTCCCGGCACTCTCCTTTCAGAAAGGTGCTGACGGGAACGGCTGTCCTCAGCTTTCAGCTCCAACTTGGTGTTTTCAAGTTGATGTTTGACATTTCAAAACAGCATTAATAATTTCCAGCTCCTGAAACAGCATGTCTGTGCTCTTTGCATTCTTCCTCCTCACTCTTGTTTTCTAAACTTTTCTGTCACTAGGTACAAACAAAGCGTCCTGTAGCCGAGCCACTTCTGACTTCAGTGGAAGATATTTATTCTCTGAGATTGCTAACCTGGTAAGGCCACAGCACAAGCATCCCCTGCGTTGATTACCCGTCCCCCTCCCGTGCCCGTGGCTCTGTCTCATGTGGGGCTCACACAGCGTCTCACGGACGAACTGAGCACACAGGGCAGGAGGAGAAAAGGCTCATGGTTGTGGAGACGTCCCAGTGCTGGTTCCCCTCAGGCCTCTGCCTGGGGCTGGGCACCCTGCGGGTCCCCCCTCCCACCTGCCGGTGCCACCCCGGTGCCTCTTGCCCGAGGAGCCTGGCTTCAGAGGGTGGGGGGATCTTTCTGCGGGCATGTTTGGTTTGCAGAGTCTGTTTTGCTTTTTGGTATCGTTGGCTCTGAGGGTGTTGTTTACTGGCGTAAGGGGCCTCCTCTGCTCCCCATGTGGTGTTTGAACGGGGCACCGCCACGCGCAGCCCGCCCCGCGCCCCTTGCCTGGGGCAGAACAGGGCTCTGCGTCCCGGGCTCTGCTCTCAAGACAGCGCTGTGGGGCCTTGTTAGCAGGTTAACAGAGATTTCTGAGTGCCAGGTTTCGACTTCACAGCACGGTGCTTTATTGCAGCTCAGAGCAAGAACGGGACGTGCATCGATGTCTTCCCCCAGTGGCACGAGGCAAGGCGCCGCCGCCCTCGCTGTCTGCCGCGGGAGGCCCGGCCATCAGACAGGCCATCTCCTTCGGCACGCTGAGCTTCATCAGCTGCAGAAAGGCGGCGGCGGAGGAGTGGGGTGCTGGGGACGCTCTCCAGAAGCACCGCAGTTTGGAGTTCAGCAGCATCTCCCCTGAGCAGCTGCTGCGGCCCCCGGAACCGAAGGGAGGCGGCAGGAGGGGGCTGCGCGGCAGAGCCCCTCTGACCCGGGCTGCATCCACCCCCTTCGTGCTGGCTCAGCGAGGAGAAGGCCGGGAGTGGGATGGCGGGGAGGCAAACCCTGGTTTGAGTTCACAGTTGCCCAGTGCCTGTTGCTCGAGCTTTCAGGTGAAGACGCAGGACGGAGTTTCCCCTGTTGAGCTGAACCGCTCCAGGCGCGAGGCTGACAGCCCCCCCGGCCGCAGGAGCCGCGGGCAGTGTCCTTACCCTTACGTCTGCTCCGCAGAGGACCCCTACTTCTCGTCGCTCTCTCCAGATGAGCCCATGTCCCTGGTGTTTGCCGAGGACCTCGCGGAGGGGCAGGCTGTTCTCCTCCCTTGCGCCGCGGGCGCTCCCCTGCAGCCCGCCCTGGCCAGCTCTCCGCCAGCCCGGCCCGTGTCCCACCGCGCACCCCGGCTGCAGGCCCAGGGTTCCTCCTCCCCGAGTAAGTGCTGCAGCGCTGCCACAACCTGGGCCTGGTCCCGCTGGCCTGCGGCGTGCTGGAGCAGGGGTGAGGGTGGTCGTTTGGGGTTCAGGCACGGCTGCAGCGGCTTCTCGGGACTGCGTTCCCACCAGAGCTGAGGGAGCGACTGGTTTCATCGTTGCGCTCGTTTCATCCTGCCTTAAACTTTTCCCATCACCAACGTTTTTAGAAGAGCGTGATTTCGGGCTTCACGTTGCACAGCTGAACTCCTGCGTCCCCGCGGTATGGCTGTGGCGGGAAGGCAGGGGTTGGTGCTGACCAGTTCCTCAAGCAGGGAGCTCCAAGCAGCACTCGGAAATTTAGCTGCCAGGTGTAAAGCCACTCCTTCCTGCTGCTCAGGGGTATGCTGGCATCCCGCTGGGAGAACCAGGACTTCAGCGTCAGGGTTTGCCCAGATCCGCAGCCTTAAACCCATCACCTGCTGCGTGAGGGCGGAATCATGCCTTGGTCTGGTCAGTCCTGGCCCAGTTGGGACGTTCCCGTTGTCCTCAGCTTTGTTCTGCTCGGGCCCTTCAGCTTCCAGCGCGCCCCCAGCCCCGACGCTGGGGCTCTGGGGAGGTTCCGGGGCTGCAGCACCCGCCGTGGGCCTCCGCGATGGGCGCCCTGCTGCCCACCCCGCCGCAGCCCCTGCCCACGTAGCTAGCGGCGGGTGAGCGGGTGCTGGGGACTATTTGGATTTGTAACTGAGGGGTTTAACCATCGCCTCCGGCGCGCGGCTGGGCGAGAGCAGTCGCAGGGAGCAGTCGGCCAGCTCTGCGCCCCGCCGAGGGCTGTGGTTCTGCTGCGTCGTGCCAAGCCGCTGTTCTGTCCGTGTCTCCCCAATTAGCCGCCCTGCCACAGCCAGATGATGATGATGATGATGATCCTCCACCCCTGCCCGAGCGAACCCCCGAGTCCTTTATTGTGGCCAGTGAATCTGGTAGGTGCACTTAGCAAAGCAGGGGCTGGGGGGTGCTCCGAGGGCTCTTCCCGCGCCCGGGATGAGAAATGACCTCCCTTGTGTTCAACTGTCTCTAGGACAATTTCCTCTGGCCACTTCTGATTTTCAGCTTCCAGCCAGAAACACAAATTCCGGAATCTGTTTGGAGTGGAGTGGTGAGTCCCACTCCGAGGTGTTCAATGACTCAGTGAGACTGAGACCGTGTAAGGTAAGTAAGAGGCTTTTTATCTCTTCTCCAGCACCACCACTGGGCCAGTTCCCTTCACCCCTTTCCTTCTGTGAGAAAGACCCTAGTTTTGGCCCTGTGTCCTTCCCATAAATAATTTCTGGGTTCAGGACTGGGAGTTGGATGTGGCCTCAGTCAGGCCCCTCCTTATCAGCATCTACTTTACTCCAAACATTCATTTTTGGGGTCTTAAATCCCCTACAAGGTAGTAAAAATATTGCCCCTCTTTTAGAGGAGGATAACGAAGACGTTAGATGTTAGTGGTCCGCTGAGGTTCACACTGCCCTGTGGAACAGGCAGGAGCTGAACAAAATCATGCCATAGTTGAATCTGAGCTTTGTAAAGCGGAACAGTAAAGCGTGAGTCTATCTTCCATTACACGGTGTGTGGGGGAGGGTGTCTGCGTGTAACATCCTTTCCTCGTCTCCCCTGGCTTGCTTGTGGGCAAGAGAATGACATTTGGTTGTGGAGATTTCAAATACCTTCCTTCTTTTTGGTTTCCAGAGTGTGAAGCTTCGGAGCCCACAAACAGGTATAAGTTTAATGCTGAGATAAACTATCTTTGGAAATAAGGGCTGCTCTTTACCGCAGCGGCTTTACCATATTTAGTAAATGTCTTTAGGATCTGCGCTCAGTCCAACCTAAATTTTGTGTTGCTATAGTTCTGCAGCTAAACAGTTCTAAACAGAACTAGACAGCGCTGCAGCCACATGAACTGGTAGTTTTTATTTCCTGATCAGCTCCTGCCTCACCCTGTACGTGAGGATGTTCCCTGCAGCCTCCTCGGGCTGAGGGTTGTCACGTCTTTTGCTGCATTTGTGTGTTTCCTCTGAGACAATTGACACACGCTGGTTTGATGCTGTGGACCTCCCAGAGAACTGAGATATATATATAGATGTAGATATAGATATATTTATTTTTATAGCTAGGTAACCAACTCTTTTATCTTTGCTTTCTCAGAGACAACCCGGGATCGCTCTAACTCTCCTCCCCCGCTTCCTGAAAGAACCCCAGAATCATTTATTCTTGCTGATGCTGCATGTAAGTGATGAGTTATTTTCTTGGCTGTAGCTGAGATTTTGTACTTACACCCAAACCTGTAAACAGCTGAGGAGGTCATGGCCCACTTGTTCAAAGCCTTACCGAGGGTAGTGCTTCAGGACTCAACTGCAGCAGAGTTCAGCAGGTAGAAGAACAGTAAAGGCAGCCAGGGGACCTGCTGGAAATGTCTTGAACTGCTGCATCAGTGGAAATGAAAAGCAGCAACAAAGTGCTTGGAAAAAAGAAGGAGGATTCTTGAGTGACCCCTGAAAATGTTCTGATGTGTGTTCCCAGGTCTGCAGCCTGCTGCGAGAAACTCTATGACGGGTCCTCCGAGCTTGGAGAAAAGCGGTTCGGAAAATTTGTCCAGAGAGCCTATGAAACGCTTCAGGAGAAGCAAGGTAAGAGAAACACGGCGGAACAAGCTACTGAGAATGGGGGGTGAGAAGAAGAGATCATTCTAGCTACAGCTATTGCTACGGGCTCACTGCTGACCTCGTGAAGATTGCCTGCTCTGAGACCACTCGTATTTAGGGCAAGGAAACGAGGCCAATACAAACCCTCTGCTGCAGAACTACGAACCAAACCACCGTGTAACACAGCCCTGCCCCTGTGAGCGGCCGCGCCCGGCGCTGCGACCGCTCAACGCACCACTTCCTCGTGGAAAAAGTCGCTTGAGTGGAGCCTGAATTCCCGTGTAGGACAGACGCTACTCATCACCAGGCCCCTCTTGTTGTGGCCCGAGTTAATTATCCCCACGAGCAATTGTACTTCGGGATGTTGTGGTTGAACAGAAAAGCGTCTGAGGAAAACAACAATAACACAAGCTGGAGGTGTTTGGGTTTGCTCGAAAAAAGCCAAAGTGAGTGTCAGGAGTCTGCGTTTCAGTCGCAGCTGCCAGGCACGATCCTTCTTAGATGTGACATGTGTGTATTTAGCAGTAAATTTCTTTAATCCCAGGAGCTGATCTACTACTTGCTACATTTTTTTCCAACAAGATTTTTTTTTCCCTCTACAGAGCTTGAAAATATTGAAAAATGTGAAAAAGAGTAAGTCTTTCAGGCTAACGTGCATCTTCCCGACGGCTTTCAGCAAGTATATAAAGAAATATGTGGGGTTGAATTGTCAAGAACCTGAACTTGTCAGGCGTGGAGGGCCCGGCACGTCTGCCCGCTCTGGAGCGGGACCCGCGGGCTGCCCCCTCGGGAGGGGGACGGTTGTGTCTGCAGCATCGTGGGGCGGCTGCGCTGCCCCTGTGTTGCCCTGCGGGTACCTTGGGGACAGCTCAGGGTACCCAAGTTACCAAATTGTTCAGGTCATGCAAACCGGCGCTGTGGACAAGGACTCTAGCAATGGGGACAGGGGTGCTGTGAGGAACCTGGGTCCCGCCCACTCTATCTGGGGCATAAATAAGGAGTTTCTCATTAAGTTCCCTTTGATCTACAATTAAAATGCTTACCTTGAAAACAGGACTGCTACAAACTCTTTAAAGCCCTTCTGAGCAGACGCTTTCCCGGGGGATTGTGCTGCAGTAGCACACTGCTCCCTGCTCCGAGGAAATAATGTTGTTACGCCGCTCGGCGCTGCCAGCGCTCAGCCCTGCGCTGCTGCCCTGCTCCGCAGGGAGCTCCTGCACAGTCACTAACTGCCTCAGTCTGTTTTTGGTTTGTTTTTTTTTTCCCTAGGCATCTGTAGTCCATCTGCACCAACGCACCCACCAGAATCTGCCCCTCCAAACCACTCGAGGTCCTTCCTTAGCTTTGGTATGTTTTTCTCTTCGCGTCTTGGTGTAGGAAGTACCTGGGTTTTGAAAGTCTGAACGCAGGGACCAGGCTGAATGCTAACAAGTTACAAACATTATAAATATCTTTTTTTTTTTTTTTTTTTTTTACACATTTACAACTTTATTCACCAACTGTTTAAAGAGCAGGTAAGGGTGGGACACGCAGACCCCAGATCCCGCTCTGCCAAACGCTTCTCGGTGTGGGAAGAGTCTGAAGCGTGGTTGGGCCTTCCTGTACCTGAAAGCCTTTATGTGCCAGCAGAGACAAAGCTGTAGCCCTGCCGCCAGCCTGCTGCCCTGCCTTGTGTAGTACGGCAGAGGAGAAATATGTTTTCCTTTTTAAATTCCCCTTCTAGAGAGTAGTCATATATTAGATGAGGTGTACAACCCAGTTCCCCTGATATTCATGCTGTAACGACGGTATTTGTCGGACAGATCCACTGACAGACTGGTTTTGCACCAGCTGACTTACAACTACAGGATGTTGCTTAAAGTTTGGGAAAGAACTGAAATTACAAGCACTTTTAAATACCATGTTATCTTAAGGAATTACATAATCAGCATTGATAACATACAGAATTTGTTGCATTAAAAAAAAACCCAAAAAATTTCTTTCTAGGCTTTGCAAATCGATTTTCAAAACCTAAAGGACCAAGAAATCCACCACCAGCCTGGAATATATAGATGTTTTACAGATTTGGCGTTACAGATTTGTGAAGTCCTTCTGATACGCCTTGAGCGCTCATCCCAGTAAGGTTTCCATCAAAATAAACACATCAGAAGCTATTGCACAGTATTTGCAGCTCAGGCACTACTTACACATCCTTCATCAACCAAAGTTTTAAAGAAGAATATAGAAGTACCAGCAGCTAAGCACTTTCAGTTCATTCACAACATGATGGAAACTAAAAACGGGAATAGGTATTTTATCCTAAGGAGAGAGACATTTCAGTTGTGCTTTGGAACGTATTCACTTCAAAAGGATGGATGTGAGCGTTCTGAACCAGGCGTGTGAACTGGCACCGACCCAGCCGGGACTGACTGACCTGGAGAGCAGCGCAGGACAAGACTCTGGATCGTGCCCGCGTGGCAGAGCCCTGCACCTCCTTAAGTGTTTACATTACTTGGACTGAAAGAGAATTAGCATCTCAGATCTCAGAAATAGTTTTTCTTCACGTTTTTCTTCATCTGAGTCAATCAGGTAACTTCTCTGGATTTTTGGTGAGTGAGAGCAAGACGCTGACTGGTTGCACAGGGACTAAGCTACCGTCACAGACTGGAACTAGCTGACCCAAGTGCCCTCACTACCTGAAAAAGAGCCCCAAACCAAATTCCACCCCAGCACAGGCAGTATCATTGCACTTGTAAGGCAATGCTGGGCTGGGGGGTTGTGACTCTCCAGCACAGAATTTCCGATGGTGCCGCAGAGGACGAGATTTCTACAGCGGTTCCGCTGCTATTTATATCCTCAGCGGGGAGCGATAAAGATGTTGGAAACTGCCCTGTACGGCTCTTTTCCTGTGGAGAGACGAACAAGGCGGGACTTGGGCAATCTGGTCACGAGAGGAACCCGCTGACCGCTGCCGGCAGAGAAAACTCGGCCGGTCTGAAGCGCCTCTCGGGGGAGCGGCGGCCCCTGCACCGCGCTGTGCCCGAGCAGGGACCGGCCTGGCGCTGCGGGTGCGGCTGGGCGGGGCAGGCCCGAGGTTAATGCTTCTAAACCATTGTGTTTGAGTAGTGACTGTAAAAGCTACTGGACTGTAAATGTCAAAGTTTAGCTTGATAAATGTTGATAAAACTACAGAAGTAGTAGATCTGTGTAGACTGGGGGCGTCACTGTGTGTCAGATCTAACCCAGTAATCGAATGAGGCCTGTTAATGAAAGCTGAAACACTTAAACTCACCATCTGAATCCCAGATTTTCAGAGGAAAGCTGTTTGCTACCCAGAGGTCTGAAGCTCCTCAGTACTTGTCCCAGACTGCACGTGTAGTGGGTTTTGGATGGGGCTGTGTTTCTTTTCCTGTCTTTCACTATCAGTTTTTAATTCTATAACTAAACTGCCTATTTCTTTGGCTGTATTATTCCTGTCTTCGGCCACAGGTGACCATGAACATCTCCAGTCATTTTGCTGTTTAATAGTGGCACTGGTGCGTTCAGTTATGTGATGTCTGATAGTTCCAGACTCCCAGAGTGATTGGCACTGCTGTTACTCTGCCCCTCAGTGGGAGCCCATGGTTCCATGACCTGGCTATAGCTTTCTCTGTGTTTGAGGTACTGGAGGCTTTCCATTTATTTAAAGGAATAATTAAAACTATATTTCCTTCAAGATTGTCAGGCATTACTGTAACATCACTGTCGAGCCTCACTTAATACAGAGGTTGCTCTCACTGTGTAGAGGGACTCTGCTGTGTTCAGAGGGTGCAGACGTGGCCAGGATAGCTTTTACCCCAAACATAGACCAGTGTTCACTGGAAGTTCCAAAATATAAAGAGTGTTGGGTGGATGTCTGCTGTTGGGGAATGTCTTCAAACAGGAAGAGACTGAATTAAAACTAGCACACATCTGAGGTTATAAAACTATATCTAAAATTAGAAATGCTTACAACAAGACACCTCTAACAATCAAAAATTAACTTAAAGATCTACGGGAAAGTATTCCCAACAGCTCGGCAGTGGTCTGGAATTCTTGTTTCGTTTCAGCTTGGAATCTCTGGTCCCCCCAGAACAAAGATCTTCTGTCTGATTAGTATGTTCACTTCAGTTAGTAAAGCAGTATCTGTACTTGAGAGCCTAGTGATTGAGTCAGCTTATGCATGAGTAACTTCCGAGACTTCCAGAAAAGCTTATTCAAAGAACTGTTTCAGTTGGCTTACCAGAACAAGTGATACCACCTTTCTTTTCCTGGTTTCCCTAGCTGTAATACAAAAATAAGGGCATTTGCTGTTTGTAAAGGCTAACAGCAGTCCTGTGAAAACTCGTATTTCAGGTCCTAAGACAATGGTATGAAGTTACTATTAAGCAATCGACTCTTTCTTTGCTTCGTGAGTAATTCTGTTCGTTACACCAGGCTGTTATGAAGGTCAACCATCTTTAGTAAAGAGCTCCAACACCAAACTAGTAACGACGCAGTTAAATGCTGTGGGTAGACCAGGTAACTTGAAGCTGCATGTATTTATCATTATGCCTTTTCCAGTAAATCAGTGTAACGTGTTTTTAACTTCAAGTACTGCGAGAGAATGAAGAACGAATACAAATTTGGTAACTTTGCAGATAAAAAAGGGAAGAAAGTTCCCTGTGCTGTGGGAAACTGAAAAACTAGCTGTTGGCATCTTCCAGTCAGGTGTTGCCTTCAGCAGCAGATTTTTCTGATCCCCGCAGCTACCCTGGGAATACAGCTCTCGGAGGGTTCTGTGCATTGTTGGCATGAAATAGTTCTTTGATTCAGGCAGATTAAAATCTTGGCAATTGGATTTTTTTAACAGCTGGACCATCAAGATTTCGAGCTACCATTGTCACTTGCTAAATATTATTTGAATTAGATTTTATTCCTAAAAGATGAGCTATTAAACTCTTACATTTTGCCTAACAGAACTAGTTCTTTACATTTTCTCTCTTAGCCTTTAGCCTTTTACAGGTTGATTGACCTGTAAAAAAAAAAACAACAAAACAAAACAACCAAACGACCTCCTCTTAATTTCTAGCTCAGAATTCATGAAGACAGACTAGCAAAAGATAGTTGAAGATGTGGATGTGGTGACTCAGATGTTTATTATGAAAGATAAGCAGTTTTTTGGCTGGAAACCGAACTACTCCGAGTATTTTTGCCTTTAAATGTCACTAATGCTTGTACCTATTCAGCTGCACTCTGTTTTGCTCCTGCATTGTGTATCCAAAATCAGGGAAGTGTTCTGTAATCAAAGTCTTAATGTTTAAGTCTTACACAGACTCGTTTATCCTCTCCCCTGCATGGCACTGCCTTAAATGTCAGAAGTTATTAATGTACTTAATTATAGATGTTCTGAAATGTGGACTCCTTTTAAAGATATTGTAAAAGATATTAAAAATTGAAATACTTCTGAAATATTAAGCTTGAGTTTTGGAAAATTTCTTTAATTCAAGGATTTCTTTGCATAACAACTGGATGTGCTGCATTTTTTGTTGTATAAGTCATGGGAGTCAAAGGTCAAGGTGTTACTTTAGGTCAGTCTTCTGGGAACAGATCACTTTAGCAAATGAGAGGCCTTGATTCTTCTCGGGTGAATATGCCGCAGCTGTAGAACTCTGATCTCTTCTTTATTGTTGCTGCAGAAACTCCAGATGAAAATGGCAAAACCCAGCGAGCTGACAGTCTTATTATGAAGAAGATAAAGAAAAAAAAGAAAAAGAAACACCGGGAAGATGTGAGGGGAAAACGCCTGAAGATGTACAACAAAGAAGTGCAGACGGTGTGTGCTGGGCTCACTCGCATTGACAAAGAGACTCTGTCTCAAGGACAGTGTGATAACTTGGAGATGAACAAGGAATCCTTCAGGTATCTAAAGGATGAGCAGCTCTGCAGACTGAATTTGGGCATGCAGGAGTATCGAATACCCCAGGGAGTACAAACACCGTTTGTGACGCACCAGGAGCACTCTGTTCGCAGCAACTTCTTGAAAACTGGCACTAAATTTAGTAACTTCATTCATGAAGAACATCAGTCCAACGGCGGTGCTCTGGTCCTTCACGCTTACATGGACGAACTCTCATTTTTGTCTCCAGTGGAGATGGAGAGGTTTGCAGAAGAGTTTCTTGCGTTGTCATTCAGTGAAAATGATAAAAATGCAGCTTACTATGCTTTAGCCATAGTCCACGGAGCAGCTGCTTACTTACCAGACTTCCTGGATTACTTTGCTTTTAACTTTCCTAACACTCCAGTGAAAATGGAAATTTTGGGCAAGAAGGACATTGAAACAACAACGATTTCAAACTTTCACTCTCAGGTAAGAACTGTTTAAAGGTGTAAAAGTTGCACAACACCTCAGTTTGATTAATCTCGTTAATCCAGAGCAGGGGTGGCCTAAAGCAGGTGAGGCTCAGTGTGTTTTCCTAGGCAGATGAAGAAGGGTCACATTGGGACTACTGCTGCTGGGCTGGTCATTCCTGTCTCTGCTTAAAGCTTCTCGTGCCTGCTGGTAGTTGGTGGGTCACGTTTCGGACGCTGCTGTGACCTGCGGGGAGATCTGCACTGGCCTTCGTGCAGGCTTTCAGCTGATCTTCTAAACTTGGGAGAACACTGACACTGCTCAAAACAGACTGGTCTGTATTAGGACTTGTATAGACTGCAGATGCTGCTGCTTCCATTCAGTACCTCTGGTTTGGGTTTTTTGCGATGACACTACTTTCCAGGTTTCAAGTATGTCATTCACAACAAATCAGCTTTTTTAACATCTTAATTCTGTCAGTAGCTGATGCTGGGTGTTGAAACTTTCCAGCGTTAGAAGATTGGTTAGAATATCTTTTTGATTGCCTTTGAAAAAGCCTTTCATTTAATACATTACTGTGATTTCACAGTAGGCTTAAACTATCTTAGATTCACAAAATGTATCTCCATGTAACTTAAATGGATGCAGCAGTAATTAAGCTAATTTCCCAATTCCCATATGACAACCCCTTGCGTTTGGCTCTTGTGATCAAGCTTAGCAGTATCTGTGAACATACAGTGACATGACAGTTCAGTTTGTTTTGATGGAATAAAAACTCTTCCTGCTTAGTCTAGTCTGAGAACAGATTCAAGCTGCCGATTGCTTTCAAAGTTTTTATTCAAGACCTTAATTACTTTTACTGCTTCACCTGTTGGAAGGAAAAACCTGAAACTCGATAGTGGAGTGCCCTTCAGTACTGTTGAGACAGACCTCCTTTCACAACAGGTTTTGAAATGGGGATGTTTGTGCATGGGCTGTCTAGTTCTTCAGAGTTTGCCAGATGCTTCTGAGCAAGATTTGCGTTGGAAAAGCAGTTACTGCTCTACAGGAAGCTGCTGCGTGGTCACTTGTGGAGCCTGTTAATGCTTTCCAGCATTTACT